ATGAACAGGAAAGAGGGATTAGTAAAACCTCTCACCAAAATAATAACCAAATGCTTTGAGACAGGTGTATATCTCGAGAAGCTTAAATTCAGTAAAGTTACCCCTGTATTCAAAAAAATAGACAAAAATGATATAGAAATCTACCGAACTATCTCAATAATCCCAACTTCATCAAAACCCATTGAGGCTGTAATGAATAAATAGTAGGATTCGAATTACTTGCTCTCAAAGTCCCAGTTTGGATTGACACAAAATCTATCTTCATCGCATGCCATATCCGATCTGGTGCGAGCCACGATGGCTGCCTTCGAAAGGCTAATTTATAATCGGAGTAAGTCCACTGCTTATTGTGGAAGCCTCAGCTTCGCGACCTTATTCGTCATTGATATTTGAAAATTTGAACCATTCGATATTTTGGATGTTGAAGTCACCGAGCATGTAAATTTCGGCACTGAGATGATTGATTTGCAGATGGTGTTTGCAGGTGAAGGAAATGGTGCCCTATATTGTGTATTGCTTGGTGGTCGATAAACGTAGCGTAGGAATTCAGTGATCTTTTCTGCTATCTGTATGAACCATACGATATCAAGTTTTGGGGTTCCATCATTTATTCTCGTTGAGACGAGAGATCGCTTCTGATAGAGAGAGGATATTTCAAAGTTACGTCTGGATCGGGAGTGAAAATCATAGCCAAGATAAAAAAATTGACGGTGTTTGTTGAAGCACTGGAGCGCCCTTCAAACCGCAAGTAGTTGTCGATGTATATCTCTCGAAAACTTTCATATCAACGCTAGTGTGCCCCAGGGATCCATAATGTATTCAGCGCTCTTTCTATTGTATATCAACGACTTATTGTAAAAATACAAGATTCCAATTCATTGTTTTGCTGACGACAGCACACTTGACTCGTCATTACATTTAGATTCCAGGACATCGACTGCGGATGCACATCTTCACCGGCAGCAGGAAGTTGCATATCTTAATGAGTAAAGTATTTTCAAATTGGGGTGGGAGTAACCAGGTTGAATTCATTGCCACAAAAACCCAGGCATCGGTTTTTTCCTAAAAGATACATGTCTCTGATTCGGATATAATAATGTCAGACAATTTCGCTTTCTGTCAATATGCCAATATGTCATGTCGCTAAAATTAGAAAGTCTGCTTCTCAATAGCTTGGAACACTGTTCCGAACCAGAAAGCTGTACACACCCCAGCAACTTTTCTTGTTTTATAAAGCTCAGATCAGACCTTCTTTGGAGTATTGTTCTGATATATGGAGCTTCGTCCCCAAACATACCGTGAAGTTGCTGCATTCAATATAAATTGAAGACGCGAACACACATGCAAAATCGATAGTCTGGAACATCGAAAAAAGGTTGGAGATTTGTCTCTCTTCTATATACAGGGTGTAACATAAGTACGTTAAAATATTCAAGTGACGTATTCCTGAGACAATTTCAAGAAAAAAGTCTATATGAACTTGTGTCCGAAATGTTTCATTTCCGAGATACATAGTGTTAAAATTTAAATTTTTTATTCGCAACTCTTGCAAAAAATAAGTTATTTGCACGAAATTTGGTACCTGGGGGTTTTCTTGACGTGGCAAATCATAATTTCGTATAATTTTCATATATTCCACCAGAAATGATAGTGGACTGAGGCTTATAACCTTCCTCGGTATTTATGTAATTACCAAAAGGTAGTTCGGCCCAGGCTAGTTGATTATTGTCGGGGCTGGACGTGGGTAAGGAAAATATGTTTTTTATTACAGTAGAAATAAATGGAAAAAAGTAAGCCCTGGGGCGCCAGCTGAACGGAGGAAAGGGGTTGGAGAAATAACCAAAAAGTCAACAACGAAGCTACAAGCTTGAAATTTATATTGAATTGATTATAGAAAGAAATATTCACAAACTTCACTACCAACTGTGTAATAACTCAAAAATTGGTTTTCATATGTTATTTGCAACGAACTGATGTAAAAAACAGGCAAATATATATACATCAAGTTCGAAAAACCAATACTCAATATAAAAAAACGTTCACTGGAGAACTCTTACTTCCGAACAATATCGAATCAAAAGATTTGAGTATTGAACTGACAGAGATAGACCTTTACGTAAATTGAAAATGAGGGAACAAATGAGCAGTTGAAAGTAACTTCCTGAATTTTAATTCATCCAGAATCTACTTTTCGATCAACTTCAATAAAACTCGATAATTATTACCCCCGTCAACAGCTGTCTTAGGTGCACAGAGAAAAGGAAAATGCTCAAAACTATCCTCTAGTTTCAGGAATGAACTGTAGATTTCAGTACTCAAACCGCTCCAAAATATATCAACAATATCAGGGCTTCTACCCACGGGTTATCATCGTTTCTGATATTTTTTCTTATATACTTGCTACGGCTCTCCGTTGGTACTTTCTTGAGTGTCTCCTCATATCTCAAAGAATGATATGTATAATGCAACTATAGCTTTTCCGAAGAATTTCTCCTATTTCTAGATAAATATGCTTCGTAAGCTTTTTCAACCACCAAAAAAATGAATAAAAGGTCTGACATTGCTCGACGTGAATCTTTCATAGGTGATCTTATTATTCTTGTCCAAAAAACCTTAGATGTTTTTAGATTTCGGACGGTCGCTTGCTAGCACCTTGCTTTTGTGTTGGCTTTAGGATAGATACTCTTCTGAATAGTTATTAAATCCTGACCGTGAAAATCTCCTCGGTTTTATTTACTCCTGCTTACTAGACAACCCACCATCCCAGCAATATGCTGATAAAATAACGAATCTACAGGGCGGCTCTACTGATTCCTCTGAATTCAGAAATTTAAACCGTTAGACACCCTCCTTTCCTCAATAAAACTTCTTCTCTGGAAGAAATTTTAATGAGTTCTGATATTCTCATCACCTACTATATTCCTACTATATTCCTATCACCTACTATTCACAAATTATTTACAAAAATGAAATAAAACGGATCACTTTCAATATATTAACAAGACTGCAAAAGGTCGAGATAACTCGCAGGAAGATGCTATGATGAGTATTAACTCACTAACACTGAATATTTGAAATGAAATGAAATCATGATCCTACATTTATTCCTCCATTCGTATTCCATCCATTCGCGCATTCACATCGGATCAATCTTCTTGTTCACCAAAATAAGGTTTGAGGTCTTTAACGTGCCCCACGTTGGGCACCAATTCTTTTATATAACATACCTTAGTATTTATATTATCACTAAAAGGTAGTTCGGCCCAGGATAGTCGATTATTGTCGGGGCTGGACGTGGGTAAGGAAAATATATTTTTTTACAGTCGAAATAGATGGAAAAAAGTAAGCCCTGGGGCACCAGTTGAACGGATTCAACAGAGAAGGGTTTGGAGAAATAATCAAAAAGTCGAAAACGAAGCTCCAAGCTTGAAATTTATATTAAATTGATATATAGAAAGAAATATTTACAAACTTCACTACCAACTGTGTAATAACTCAAAAATTGATTTTCATATGTTATTTGCAACGAACTAATGTAAAAAAACAGCAAATATATATATACATCAAGTTCAAAGAACCGATACTTAATACAAAAAAACATTCACAGTGAAGATATTAATACGCCGCTATAGGCCGTTTTGATCATGATATTACTGCTGAAGAACTCTTACTTCGGAACAATAACGAATCAAAAGATTCGAGTATTGAACTGACAGAGATAGACCTTTACGTACATTGAAAATGAGGGAACAAATGAGCAGTTAAAAGTAACTGCCTGAATCTTATTTTATCCAGAATCTACTTTTCGATTAACTTCAATCAAACCCAATAATTATTACCCCCGTCAACAGCTGTCTTAGATGCACAGAGAAAAGGTAAATGCTCAAAACTATCCTCTAATTTTAGGAATGAACTGTAGATTTCAGTACTCAAACCGCTCCAAAATATATCAACAATATCAGGGCTTCTATCAGGGTTATCATCATGTTTGATATTTTTTCTTATATACTTGCTACGGCTCTCCGTTGGTACTTTCTAGTACTAACTCCTCATATCTCAAAGAATGATATGTATGATGCAACTATAGCTTTTCCGAAGAATTTCTCCCATTAACAGATAAATATGCCTTGAAAGTTTTTTTACCACGAAAAAAAATTAATAAAATGTCTGACAGTGCTCGACGTGAATCTTTCATAGATGATCTTATTATTCTTGTCCAGAAAACCTTAGATGTTTTCAGGTTTCGGACAGTTTCTTGCTAGAACCTTGCTTTACGATAGATACTCTTCTGAATCGTTGCTAAATCCTGACCGTGAAAATCTCCTCGGTTTTATTTACTCCTGCTTACTAGACCACCCACCATCCCAGCAATATGCTGATAAAATAACGAACCTACAGGGCGGCTACAGATCCTTCTGAATTCAGAAATTCAAATCGTTACAGGCTACTAACTTTTTTTAGGTTCAACTCAGTACACCTCTTACTTCACTGTTTGAGAACATTTTGTCAGATTCATAACTCATTGATCAATGTGAGTAAGATAATCACAAATGTGCAAATTCATAACTCCACAGTGCTTGTTTGATTCTCAATGGCAATTAAGTATTAAGAATTTATTAATTTCAAAATATGTTACCAAATGTAAAACTCAATCACTGAATTGACAGTTCGTTTTGAAACATATCATTTTTAACAAAAAATGGAGATGAAAAGTGAAACGAATATACCTCGTTCATTTTTATTGGAATCGCTTCTCTTTCACACGAAATAATTTCCAAAAGTGAAGATTGGAATCAAATACCTTCTGAAGAAGGAATTGATTCTACAAAGCAAATTGATTTGAAGTGATTTAAAATCAACAAATTGAATTTGGGTAGTATAAGATATGATAAACTAATTCTTTGGAAATGAGAAATCAGATATGGAATCAACATTCTTCTCATATACTGATGATGTTCATAAAATAATATCCATTTCACAACACTAACAGATATACTTACAAGAATCCGTGTTTACCTCTACCAATATCGTAAAAGATATGAAAGATATACTGAGTGCTATCATAATACCAAGTAAACGTAATCTGAGATCTATTTTGTGAGCAAAAACAGATACTATCACAGTTGTTAAAGCTGTTGGTACAGAGGTCAGCATAGATGTTATCGATGCAAAATTAGTCTGTAGAAAAGTTTTGTTATTGGGATCATAATTCTCCTGGCTAACATCCCTGAACTTGAACATCCAGTACTGAAAATTCAAAACATTTATTGAAATGACATGAGATAATCAACATTGCTTTTCTGAACACTTTCAAATTCGACCCATTTCAAATCAAAAAGTGGTTAGTGACAAATAAGGCAAACATCATTATTCTGATGACATCAATCTCTATCAAACTTTCACCTAAAATAACTGAGAGGACGTTGTACAAAATGTCAATAATGATTTAGAAAATTTCTCAAATAACTCAGCTGCTAATGAACTTGAACTGAACACCACTTAATATCAATTATTACGCAAAAAATAGCTGAAAGCAAAGTTCTGAGTAATGTACGACTTGGTGACAATACAGTTCCGATAGTAATTGAAGGTAGTCATGATTGATTGATTAACATTTTCTGCGTGATTTTTGATATCACTGTTAGTAAAGAAATATTCCATATTCTTGGTCTCTCTTGACGAATCGAGTAGTAAAGAACATAATGTTGCAGGATTATTGAAAAGTTTATCTGAACCAACTGAGGTACCCGTGTAAATGACTTCATTGATGGATTCGAAAATTTGAAACTCTCTTCAATCAATTTAAAAATAACATCTACGAATGAGTATCGATATTTGTACTAGAAAACAAGGTTGAAGAATCATTTGTCTCGGTTGTACATACTATATTGCTATACTGAAACCATGCCAAAATGAAGTCGAATTGGACTATCGTAACATGGGAAAAAGAAGTAATATGAAATACTTACATCTGTAGCTGTAAGGAAAAAGGTGAGTGGTACCATTCCTGCAACTCCAACAAACAAGAAAAAGATCGTGATAAAATAATATTTATCTTCTGGTGGTGGTGCCGGTGGACTTTTCAGTTTCTGAGAGAACCTTTCCATAGACAGAAGAGAAACTGTAATGAATAAATTTGATAAAAGTTGTAGCATGTAAATTTTCGCTACTTCATTTTGTAAATGAATAAAAAAGTTTTAGACCAACATAGATTTCCCTCCGTGGTGACCTACCCTCAGCGAACGTGAAAATAACAAACATAGATATGTGAAGTTGGTTGTCTAACCTCATCCATAGAAACCTTATAAAAATCCCATTGCTAATCTCGATTGTTTTGGTTATGGATAAGTTTCACAAGTAGTGTCTTCGAGTTGAAATTTTCTGTTGGCATTTTCTGTTTAATTTTAATTGTCAGCTGTTCGATGATATTCTGACTGTCAACTGTTTCATTCGTCAGTGTAACCAATTTAGCTCTAGGGGGTGTCTGATCAGATACAACCAAACATACCATTACTTTATCCTGTTCAGATTGGTCCTTTATGCATGGAATATGCAAATATTGATAGGTCAAAACGCTAGTACCCTATCTTCCGGAAAGAAGAAAAAAAGGAATTATTTTTCTGATCAGTTAGGATGATAGATTTCGCGAAAACGACAGGTGTCTGCCCTACAGGTGTTTCTGGTTTTGTTCGGCTGGCGAATCCTGAATTTGTTAAATGATCCTAAGTGGATATTTCGTTCTAACCATCTTATTATCAACCAATACGTCATGGCTTTTGATAGGGGCCTATATTGAACATATACGACAATTTGGTGTTTGAATACTTTGTACCACGCCAACGCCACGACAGTTTCTAAAAAAAACATTTATAGGGTTGTTGTACACGGAGGATTTTCACCCAGGGAATTCTCACGGTTTCTGTTCTGGTTGGTTATCTCCCAAGCTTTGGTTTAACCCCTAGTCTACACTGGCGCCCCTCCTATTTCATTGACCAGTCAATTACTGTACAATGATATATTTTTGTTTGTTAACGAACCCATAGTGCCAACCGAGCATTTGCTCCTTTTCATTAAATAGAAAAAGTGCTGCAAAGTGATAACTATAATGATACAATCATTCATTTGAGCATCTTGTAATGATGAATATAAAGGTAGCCACATGATAACGAATCGTTTTCACTATGAATACTGAAAAAAAATTCAGTCACTTATGTCAACGCTAATTGTAACAGAATTTTGTAAGAATCCGTAGAGTTGATTTGTCTATTACGATGCAAAAAAATTGATGATCTTTGAAGAGGGGATGTAAGTAATACGAAATAATATCAAAGTGGGAAAACGAAATTCAGAACGTAAGTATTTGTGAACAAAAATATAACAGAGCAAATTGAAAAAAGTTCAATGTGAAATTATGAAAAAGTCGAAAAGTAGGCATTTAGCAACTTGAAGAAATAAAATCGGTGCTCGTAGGAAGCGTTCTGAGCATCAATATTCTTCTGACAGGTAATTTTCATTCTGTATGCTGAATCTTTCTTGTTTGATGAATCAGAAATCTTTTGCAAGAAAGTTCTTAGGTGTTCAACTGATCCATCATTCAAATTCTCCATTGAGATATCTATTGCACACAGGAGTTTCTCTCACTAACAAACTGAAAGAAAACATCATTTCGAAACAACTACTACACACACAATATTATATGTAGAATAGGATCGAAATGTAATTCACATGAAACACAATCATATTCAATGTTATACTTCGGAGGGGATTTGCAAGGGAAAGTACTCATTTATTTCATAACGACTTGATGCTCTTGTGACGATGACTATACGTAAACACATTTATGAAGAATCTGTTAAAATCTATTTTTCCATTATTCAGCTGTTGCCCCCCTACGAACGACAACTATCAAAAGTCGAAACTTGTACGAACGAAGGACTAACACGTTCTTATTTCTGGCGTGTAATCCCTAACACGGGTTCAACGATAGAAAGTTGAAATCAGTCGTCCGGCCTTGCGGTTCGAACCACCGGTTCACACAGCGGCAGCGGTCAATTGAGTGAGTAGAGCAAACCACCCACGTCAACCCACCAGGCTATCATTTCACCATAAGGCCAGAACAACCAAGTGAAGCGTCCCTATGGATGATATCTGCTTCAATTTCATAACGGAAGTTTATAGTACAAACTGAATAAAACAATATTTCCATGAGATAATGAAGTAGTTGTTTCGGAAGGATTTTTCCTCTTCTGTGATTCATTGTACATGTGGAAAAAGTTGTTTTGGAAGAGTTTTTTCTCCCAGTATATGCACTATATATTTTAATAAATACTTTGTCAATTCAGTTTTTTTGACTTCCTCTGGAGGTTTTTTACATTTTTCATTCGATGATAAATAAGTAGAGAATCAAAATTAATGCAGAATGTATCGACAAAACAACAAAGATGATGCCAAGAGGGCACCAAGTTGTATTCTTGCCAATAATAATAGAAGGAGGAGGGAAGCAGAATTGATTGCAAAGAAAAAATAAAGTTGGTACAATAGTCGGATGTTTCGTGCAGAGCATCGAATGAAAAAAAAAGTGAGTTTATTGACCAAGAAAAACAAAAAAAATACCAAAAGAACACTAAGCAATATCTTCAATAGTCGGATCGCTACGTAAATGGGGGGAGATGCTAGTATGTTCCTTGAGTAGGTACGCGAGTGGGTCTTTGAATTCGATCCTCAATTTGGTCATTGAATCGGTCTTCGAATGGATGATTCTCTAGTTGGTCTAGATGATATGGAGACAAATTGTTGAAATAATTTTTCAATTATTAGATTTATCTGACTATTATTAAGGTCATATTGTAAAATTGATTCAAGGTAACATTTACTTGTCAGTTCGAAGAAATAACCGTCCACAGATATTGAAAATTTTCATTCAGTCGAATAACTGAAATTGGAATAATCAAATCAAATCAAAACACAGTTGAATCATAATGATAACAGCGCTACCACGACGAAGAAAAATATTTGACGTTTTGTATAAACGAATATTGCCCGGCCGTACATGGACCACATATTTACAGTTGAGGCAACCACAACATTGTGGCCACGTTGACTGCACTTCGCGGTTGACCCAACCACATTTTTGTGTTCGACTTGCGGTCATATCAACCGCATTTGCAGTTGAGGCAACTGACATCTATATTTTGTGGTGTCAGAGTTTAGTGCCAGTTTCAAAATAGATTTCGTAGAAGCACTACTACGTCTTATTATGAGGAGAAGGAGAAGACGTAGGAAAGTACGATTGCTTTGGGTACATCTACTTCTGGCTGGGCGACAACAGGAAGGAAATTTTCATTTTATTGGATAAACTCCGGCAAGACGAAAAAAATTTTTTTAATTGAATACTTCAGAATGTCCATTAGTTCTTTTGATGAATAAATCAGAATTTTGAAATCAGAAATTGAACGTTGTGAGACCAATATGAGAAAAAGTACACGACGGTGTACGCGGTTGGGTACGACTACAAGTTTGTGGTTAGTGTACGGCAGATGCCGCGATGACATTTCGGCGGAGATCAGCAGCAAGTTGACTGCAGACGCCTGTTTTGACTTTTGTGAACGCCCGTGTACGTGTAGTACAGTATTTCTTATGGGAGGCTTGAGTTCGCTGGAACGCGACTGCAATTGTGTGGTCGATTCCGGCCGCAAAATGTGGCTCGTGTACGGGCTCTCTAATTGATGCCATGTTAGTTATGAGTGAGTTGTTGGTGAACTCGAAAAAGTGGGATGTGTTTGAAGTTCCTAACGTTCCATACATAAATTAAAAAAATATGCCAGAAAATATTTATGGATATTCAAGCATTCCATTATTATGTTCATGATTACATTTTTCAAACAATTTCTCTGAATGCTTTTCAGAATGCTGTGAATTGAATTCCCCGTTTCATCAAATGTTCTATCAGTTTGCGTCGATTTTCAGGTCTGGTAAAATTTTTTTAATTGATCATTTGGAAGTTCCTTTGCATTTCAAGGAATCATAAGTGATGTTTCTGTGGTTTCTACGATGTTTATTCAACTATGTGTATAACTTCCGTTATTTCGTTTCATGATTTGGATCTGCATAAATATTATTATTAAATATTTCATTTGTGATAGAAGAACGAATGATGTTATTTTTTTGTCAACACTCAGTTTGCAGCATAATATTTCTTCATCTCCAAACCATCGATTGATGAACGTCACCTGTAAACATAATTTTCTGATTTTTCTCTGGGTTTCTTCTTTGTGTCCAAATCGTATTCTTTCCATTGTTGTCGACGGCTTGAATGAATAAAATATTAAGGTACGTCCCTATATAGTTTATTGGTAACGATGAATTTGTATTTAAAAATAAAGTTCCAGGAATCACACGTTGAAAGGTGAGACCTCGTTAATCATTAGCTCGCACAAGTTTCGACTGCTGAGGGTTGTCGTTCGTAGGGGTACCACAGCTGGTTAACGGAAAAAAATATTTTTTTAAACAGAGATACTTTTATGAATCATTACACAAATTCAATTTCAAAACATTTCGAAGAATACCTTGATATATCATAGCTTATTGAATGTTTCATACATTTCGTCAGTCTATATAATTTCCTCAAGATCAGATTCTTGATTTCTATTGATTGAATAGTGTCCCCAAAGTAAAATGTCGAATGTCTTTTATCATCATCATCAAATAGTTAAACTTGAAATAATGAGTGTACCTGATGTTTTTCAGACCTGACAAGATTCTGAGAAACAATCTTTGACGATGAGTTTTCTAGGCATCCCATATAGTCTTCGAAAGTTATTTCAGTTTTAACTACAGACAATTTGACTCTCTTGGCCTTTTTCACCACTCTATATTTCTGATAATATTCTTGATTTCATCCTCCTCATATTATTATCATCTGTCAAAACTTTGATTGCATTTGATTCAGATCTGAGACCGACAAAGTCAGTCATTGATAGTCCATTATTCTCATCCTTCATAATTCCAATCACTTTCTTATCCACTTGCGGAAACTATTTCAGGGTAATCGACAGTATTGAAGTATTCGTAGCAATAGTATGAAATGGAATCATATGGGTTCTGATCTTAAATTTCATAAAT